ACTGTCAAACGGTCGGGGCACCTCTGTGTGGACTATTAGGGCATCCGTGTTGAACAAAATGTGTGTCGACATATGTTCAAAGATTGAGGTGAGACTTATGTTTCGGTGGCTTCTCGCCTATATATGGCAATGGCAACGAACAGAGACTCAAAGAGTAACACTTTGTTGGGTCTGCAAGGAAGTGACGAATTTCGAAGAAGCTGTTGGATGCAAAGAGTAACTTATCCGTACTCGTTCCCCATATCTGTCTCTCTCTCTTCTTAGATTGAGGACTGTTGTACTAATAGTGCGACAAGCTGGTCGTAAAAAAAAAAAAAAAAGGTGATGCGTGGACTTGCCTATCTATGTTTTTCACCACTTAGTTGCTTCTATGCCGCTCTTCTGTCTCATTCCTTGCAGGTGTATGATTTTGCACTTAAAGACTGTATCACTTTTTTTCTTTTTTAGTCTAAATTCTTTTTGTGCATAACTTGAGGCCTTTTCTAAGCATTGGAATGTTGTTGGCATCGTTTCTTCCCTTTTCCATTTAAATTGGAGAGAGAGAGAGAGAGAGAGAGAGAGAGAGAGAGAGAGAGAGAGAGAGAGAGAGAGAGAGAGAGAGAGAGAGAGAGAGATGTTGGGTTAAGAAGCCGATGTTGGATGATGTGGACTTTAGGAAGGTGGAAGGAGGGAATCGATAGTAGATGTGCGCGGTATATATATATGTAGGTTTTGTTTGCGCAGTTCAGGGATATTTCAGGGAACTCCTTTTATCATCAGTTGAGGTTCCTGTCAAATTGTATAGTAAGCACAGCGGCGTCTTAATGTTCGATCTTATTTCGTGAACAAAGCGTATATGGGCTTCCATATCTATGTTGATCTTATATTCACCGAAGCATCCGAGTCTATTTATGTATGTTGATGTCATCTCTAATGTACCATAACGAGGTACATGTCGGTTCTGATGCTACGTTGAGATTCGTATATGACTACCGGGTCAGGATGCTACGTTGAGTTCAGGGTTGGGGTATATGTTTGCATTTAACTTGTATGGTATATAGGGAAGGATCGATGTGGGTTTGTAAAACTTAAGAGATATAATGTAGGTTTTGTAAGTCTTTGGAATGTATCTCATGCCATTGATTCGCAAAGTTGTGAATGTTAGTGTAACGGGTACGTAAGAAATGTGGTTTGATATTTGGAGGCTACCTTAAGATGAGAGTGGTTTTCGGTCACGGTTGCACTGCTGACGTGGTTCTTGGTTTTCGGTCATGGTTGCACTGCTGATGTGGTTCTTGGTTTGCATGTAGGACATAGTGTATGAGCAAGTCTATTTTTGACATGACATTGTTTCTTGTAAGGAGAGGAAAACCTCACGGAACCAGGGCTTAGGTTCTGTAAAGCTGCAGAGCGTGTAAGAGGGTTTGTGTGGATCATAAATCCTTTCGCAGTAGAGTCATGGCCAAGGTTTCAAAGGTGCAATTGTGCGAGTCCCAGTTTCAGGTGAGCTTTGCGTTGCGGACACGGATTTGGGGCCGGGCACAAATGCGAGTCGGACTTTGAGTCAGCAGTTGATTTATAGTCTGGTTCAGGGTCAGACCTATGTTTCACAAGTATGGTTCTATGTGAGGTTTTGGGGCACGAGTTTAGCAAGGTGTAGAGTGTGCATCAAGTACGTCCGAGTCAGAAAACCTTTGCAGCCGAGCCAAGCCACGAACGTTCGATTGTGGATCCAATGTATGTGTCTATAGTAAGAATTATAGAGTTCTTCAGTTCATGTCGTGTCTAACATTTCTTTGACACTGTGGGTTCGGGTATTTTTTGACTTCGTGTTGGACGTAATGCAGGCCTTTCTAGAGCGGAAACGGCGTTTCATATTCGAGACGGGTAAGGAAATACACATTCCAATCTCATCCAGGCATTATGTTCGTGTATAATTCCAGCGCGTTTGGTGAATGTATATGCCAATATGAGGATGCATGTTTTGGCCAATGTCTGGGTCCAAAGTTAAGGTTCGGGTATGTTACTGGCACTTAGGTATTCGGGTCAGGTTCATGTGTGTACTTCGGTTAAGGTTTTTGTCATCATGTCCGAATCTATGGGACTTGATCACGCCCTTATGTTTGCAGTTGGTACTCGTGTCGGCGTTTTGTTCTCTATTTGGGCGAGTATATAGACCGACATAAGGACATGTATTTTGGTCATTGTTTGGGGCCGAAGGTAATTTTTGGTAGCACGTCTTGTTGTCAACATAGGAGTCTTGGGGGTTTTGTTGTCGTCTAGCGATTCTTGTCTGCAGTTGGCAGAATGTATATGCCAGCAGGTCACTCTCCGAGTCTGAATGCCAGATCCATCTCTTGGTCTGAATATTTCAGCCGTCGAATCCCAAACGAAGACCGTGTGTGTACGTGTTGAGAGAACAAGGTCTGTGTCTTAGACGTTCAAGCTTATAGGTCTGCAATTGGCTCATTATTCGCTCCAACACTAAGTCATATATCTGTCTTGGTCTGGGTGTTCGTCTCAATGTCTGCGTCATTGAATTTTTGGGTACTTGTGTAGGGCTTCGGGTCCGCCGCTCGCTGAATGTCTGTGAGAAAAGGTTAGTATGTTGGTCAGAAGGTCAGGTTTGCGTGTGTATTCATTTCGTGTCTTTGTCATCACGTCCGTCTGTATTTCTTCTAGATTAGGCCTTCGGTTCCTTAGTTGGGACTCGTGTTGGTCGGAGGGTCTGGATTTGGGCAAACGTACGCGTTTGTGTAGGATTGAGGGCAAGGTTCGGTTCGTTTTTTGTGTGTCAACAAATAAATCTTCAGGTTTCTGGGTACTCATGTACGGGTTCCGGTCGACGGTTGGCAGAATGTACGTGCCAAGAAATCATTGTCCGGGTCTGAAGGCGAGGTTCGTCATGGTCCAGGACTGAAGGCAAGGTTCGGTTGGGGTCCGTCTATGAACAGGTCATTGTCCGGGGTCGAACGCTAGGTTCGTCGTTGTGTAGGCAAGAAACTAAGCTTCGATGCGGTTCGTTACTGTCTGGGACTGAAGGTAAGGTTGGGTTTGGGTACACATGTTTAGGTCTGAGTCGAAGACCGAAGGTAAGGTTAGGTGTGGTCCGGGTGTGTGTGTCAACATCAGAGTCTTCGGCTTTTGGGGTACTCGAGCGCGGATTTGAGTCTGTGGTTGGCCGAATGTGCGTGTGGTAATTGTCTGGGTTTGAAAGCTAGGTCCGTGTGCGTGGTCCTTGGATTCTTGGCTACTTGTGTAGGGTTTCGGTTTGCAAATTGGTTGAATATATGTGCTAAACGGTGAATATGCGGGTCTGAAGTTCAGGTTCATGTCGCTGTTTTGGTTTGGGTATTCGTCATCAGATCTGAGCTTATGGGGCGTTGCTTAGGTGTTCGGGTTTGTGGTTGACACTTGTGCAGGCATCCGGCTGAGTGGTTGGGCGAATATATATTGGTTTGTAGTTGGTACTCTTGCAAGCATTCAGTAAGGTTCGGTTCGGGTCGTCTTTGGGCTTTGGGGTGCTCGTATATAGATTTGGGTCTGCAATTGGCAGGATGTGTGTGCCAAGGAGTCGTTGTCTGGGTCTTAAGGTCATGTTCTTGTATGTGTTTTGGTGTGTGTCTTGGTCTCAACATTTGGGTTTTTTTTTGTTTTTTTTTTTTATCAAACGTCCAAGCTTACGGGTCTGAAGGTGTGGTTCATGTAGTTGCACGAGGCTGTTTGGTTCTGGTAAGATCTGGATTCGTTGCTGACATGTTTGGTTCATGTTTGTGTGTGTGTGTGCGGGTCTCTCCAACAGCTCACGCACAACTGGTATAATCATTATCATCACGTGTAAGCAACTGCACGTGTCATACCACAGAGGTTCGGGGGTGCTTGGCTATTGACACGCATTTGACCTTTTTGAGTGAAGTTTCAATGGAGTCAGCAACAGTTGACAAAGGCATTGACTGGAGGAAGCCATTCACACCAACAATGTACGGGACGCTGATGGGGACAATAACTGACACTTCCAAATGCTACACCATGATGGACGTTCTCCTTACTGTTTTGGAGTTCATACGGAAGAACATGGGATACAATACGGTGGTTGATGTGCTCGAGGCTACGCTGAGTGAAGTAGATGTGCAGGGGTATGATGCGGTCGTACAAGATATGGACTAGGGGACCGACATGGCAGTGAGAGGGCCGAGCGACTACTTCGTGAGGACGAAACTTCGTATGAAGGAGACAATCCCATTTTTGGAGAGTCGTTCGACCTTCAAAGGACCTAAGAATTGGAGAGAGTCCGTTGCATTACGCTGTGAGGTGGTGCCTTTGGAAGCGGTGAGGACGTATTATTGCAGGAGTCTGAGGAGGGAGCACGTTTTGGATGACATGATAGAGGGGATTATGGATGAAGACCAATTGGGAGGGTCATGCACGAGTGTTTGTGTGTCTGGTGAGGTGGGCGACAAGGGGAGGAGACGCAGTGCCCTCCTACTGGTTGCACAGACAATGCGGAGGTGAGTTCCTTTCGGAGGCAGGACAATTTTTTGAGTTGGTGGCGGGGGTGCATCCATAATGTTGGGGGCATTGGAGACGGGCGACGGGGGAGGTAGAGCGCGGCTATTTTGGCACCGTTGTTTTTCAATTAAAAGGGGTGATATTGAAGAGTCAGGCGGGTACGCAAATGCCGGCGCAATAGAAAAGAAGGAAGTCCAAAGAGTGTTGAGAGGTGCGCTGAATCCGCCAGCGAAGGAGCAAAGGAAACGGGTTATATCGATATGGAGGCTTATTGACACCACTTTTTTTTTTGAGGTGGAGGAAGCAGAACGGGAGGAGGTGGATTTGCCCTCGAGGAAGATGACGAAGGAATACGCGGCATATTTGAGCAGGAGAGTAGGCATGTTGAAAAATAATGACGAGGACTCAAGTCTTCATGCTGTTGTTTGTGTCGGGCTGACGCAGGTGAAAGGGAACCGCAGACAACCCGTAGAATACGTAATTGTGTCAGAGCATCGCGTGATAGAAGGGAGTTGCGGAGGGGTGGAGGACAACCGGTTGATGGCCGGCCATTCAGATGGACGAGTTTTCCATTCGAGCGTGCGAGATTTGGGAAGCGCTCGTGAGCGAGCAGAGACCAGAAGAGGACGACCATCATATCGTCCTTCCAAGAACAGTGGAAACGGAGGCGGGTTCACCCCATGCCCCATTTCTTAGAGGGGGCGAAGACAGGAAAAGCGGAGGCGACAGGGCACGGCAAAAGGCGAGGGAAAGAAGAACAACCGGTGTTCAGGAGGGGCGCAATTCAACCATTTATAACGAAAGCAGACACGAGGCAGGAAACGAGGGCAGGGGTGCAGCAGAAGGGGTCGGCGAAGGCCACAACGGTTTGAGGGACAGCAGGGGGGAAAGAAGCAGAGAATATGCCACGGAGGGGAGAACGGGGATGACACCCGAGGCGGCTTCGGATGAGAACTCACAACGAGGAAGGAGGGATCCGGATGTGGATGGAGGAGCAGTTGGTGCGGGGCCTTCAACTGCGAACTCCTTACCGACGCTTGCAAAGTACGCTGTGACATGGCTACCAAGTCTATACAGCGGGAAACCGGCTTTTGCGACCGGTCCCATTTTGGATGTGTTGCACACGTGCACAAGCGTGCAGGCCATGATAACGAGCTGTCGACTTTAAACCAGCGCTGGGCCGCAACCACGGACGAGGCTCCCATGTGTAACGGGATCTCCAAGGACTTAACATTCATGGAGAAAGGGAGGGTGGCGTTCCGCATCAAGAAGAAAATCAACGAGAACCGGGGGGAAAATGGAGAGTATGTGTCGCTGAGGTCGTGGGTGCACTTGCCAGGGCAAAACGGTGCTAAAGTATTCTTGCAAGCGGAGGCGGCGGGCAGAGAAGAGGGAGAAGAGGAGAGAGACTTCAAATTAAATATTCTGAAGGAGCTCTATCGTTTCCTACCGGGATTCAAGAGTTGTTGGAAGCACCCCTACCTCAGGCTTATCCSAGCATCGARGACRCCCGATAAGAAGCACGTGACGGTCCATGTGGAGGGAGCAATAGGATTAGTCATATCGGAGAGGTGGAAATGGTGTCCGAGAATCAATGAGGAGGTGAACGCATTGATAAGGGGTGAGGAGAACCCATGGTTTGTGATGCCGGAGTTCTTAAAGGGCATGATACGAACGACGGGGGCTGCCATCAAACGACACGGCACATGCAAAAACTTTTCATGTTCTCTGGCGGGAGGCGCGTGTTGAAGTATCGTGCAAATCACCAACCTAGATGACATGGTCGTGAGGATCGGCGCTGCGAGGACCGGAAGCACCGACGACAAGAATCCTTGTCCGAATTGTCAAAGACTTCATCCAAAACCGCCGCCTTGGTTGTGGGAGACGGAGAAACTCATACGACTCGCGCACGTAGACGGTATGGAGAGAAAATAACACGTGCTCATTCATAACCTCCTCATGCATATGTTGAAGATGACAAAACTCATGGGGCAAGGACAACAGCTCGCTTACCTCGATCCTTGGTACGATGATTGCTACGACAGAACTGTGGCAGATGTGGAGGTCAAGGAAGGAGAAGGATGGAGGAACATCGTGGACGACCTGGTGCGAAAAGGGTTTGTGTATGTGCACCCCACATGCTGTATGCGGGAGGAGCTCCACGACGCACAAAAATGTGCAGTGGAACATGCAGAGGAGGTGCTCGAGCGAGTCAAGACAATGTCGGCCCCAGATTTAAGGTCGACTTTGACGAGGTCCGAATCGGGTTACAGAGATTGTCTCCGACGTTTCTTCACGGAGGTGGGGGACAGTCCAGGTGCGGACGTGGACACATGTATCAATCAATTCACTAGCATGAGCACGTTTTAGGAAGCGAATGTGCCGTTGGAATACTTGAATCTTCACATCTGGAAAGATATGCAAAGGCCATGGGAGTACAAGGAAGGGAAGGAAACCGAGGGAGAAAAAATGAAGAGAACCACGCATGCAAACAGGGTGCGAACGGAGGAGCGGGCACGGGGACAGAAGCGGGACAGGGAGGGTAGAAATAGGAGCAGAAATGTTCACGCACGGATACCAAATGAGGAAGAGGATGAGGCAAAGGGGGAGCAAGAGCCTGCCGATGGAACGACGAGCACATCGGAGGATGAGGAAGAGGAAGAGCGGGGGGAAGAAATGGAGGAGGTGAGAATGGAGGAATATGAAACGGCGGATGAAGAGGAGTCGTCGAGCGAGGAGGAAGGGGAGGACAAATGGGAATCGGCAGAAGAGTCGGATACGGAGATGACAGACACCTCCGCGGAGGCACACGGAAGGGAAGCAGCGGAGCAGCTGGAGATCATGTCACACGGCGGGGGAGAGGGAGAGGGACGCGAAGAAATTGAGGCCGCGATAATGGAGGAGGAAGAAAAAAATGATGAAGACGGGGAGTTTAGCGAAGAGGACACAAACAAGGAAAGCGAAAGATGGGTGGAGGAGTAACATGGAAGATTAAGAGGTTTGTGGAGGAGGTGGAATGTCGACAAAGAAGGCACCGGATAAAGGTAGTAAGCGAGAAGGGAACCGAAAGCAAGAGGAAAGGAGAGGAGTTGCAACCCATGATGTTCAATCGATCCCATGGAAGGGAAACAGAAACCGGGAGCACCTGGCGGTAAGACAAATGCGATGAGTTTTATCCTCTAATTTTTTTGTCATGTTTCGTGTTTGTTATCTTTCTTGCAGGGTTGTTTGATGATTGGTGCGAAGTGTCGTGCTCGATGCTTGTATGTGTTGCAAGGTGGTGTATTACGTTGTGAACAACCGAGTGGTAAGTGGTACAAATTTTCTCTCCTGTGGCATCGTCACACCGCGGCCACATAAAGGAGATATGACCTTGCTGTCAGGTGCAGTGAAATTCATTGTGCTTCATTATTGTTTCTTTCTCACGTATCCACGAACTGTGTTTTTTCACTGTTTTTTGGTTATGCATCCACAAGCTTCTTTTGTAACGCCTATTGTTTATATTACGAACTTAGCATACAAACCAGTTTTTGACCCATACCTATATTTGATATTGTGGACTTATAAAAGGGGTCGATGTCTACGTTGATGTAATCTTCAAGATTTCCACGATGCTGACGTTGAATTTGATGTTATAGTCAAAATAGCAAAGGTGTTGGATTTGGGTCAAAAGTTCGTCTTAGGGTTCTGGTCAAGATCGGATCTTATATTTAAAATAGCAAAACAGCGCAACGACCTAAGTCAAAGGTCTGGTCAAGGTTTCATCTTATATTTAAAAGGCACACGGAAGGGCAACAGTCGGAGTCAAAGGTCCGCTTTCGGGGTATTGGTCCAGATCTGCAATTTGCATTGTCCATTGACGCAAACTGTTCGGGACCCATATCAATGTTCATCTTATCTTCAACGCAACGTTTGGGTTGTCATCTTCAAGATTGCCTCGAATCGATGCAGATGTTCATTTTGATGATATAGTCAAAATAACGTAGGTGTTGGACTTGGGTCACATGTCCGGGTTAGGGTCTTGGTCAAGGTCTGATTTTATATTCAAAAAAACATTACAGGGCATCGACCGGAGTCAAAGGTCCAGGTTAAGGTCTTGGTCTAGGTCTGATTCGTTTTGAAAACAGCAAGGTAGGGTAGTAGCCCGAGTCAAAGATCTCGGTTATGGGTTTGGGTCAAAACCAGCATTTGAAAGACTCCACTTTAACAAAGTAGATGGGTCCTTATAACTATCTTGATCTCATCTTTAATAAAGCATATGGGTCACGATGTTGACGTTGATGTCATCTTCAAGATTGCCTCGAAATACACAGGTTGATTTTATTGTTATGGGTCAGATGTTGAAGTCAGGGTTGGGGTCAAGGTCTGATCTTATATTCCAAATAGCAATACTGGCACCGGTCAGAGTTAAAGTCTACTTGAAAAAGGCGTTAGGGTCCGCATATCTATATTAATCTCAATATCAACGGAACGCCGGGGTCCCGATGTCTACGCGGATTTCTTCTGCAGGATTGGCTTGAAATACACATGTTGATATTGACGTTGTAGTAAAAATAGCGTAGGTGTTGGAATCGTATCGGGGCCGTGCTAAATATTAGATGTTATATTTCAGAGAGTAATACAGGGCAGCGACCTGAATCAGAGGTCCGGGTTAGGGTCTGGGTCTAGGCAGGCAGTAAATATTGTTAAAACAGCATACCTGTTCGAATTGGGTCACATGTCTGGGTCGGGGTCGCGGTCAAGCCCTGCATTTGATATTGTCTATTTTAGTAAAGCGCCCAAGGTTGCAGATGTATGCTGGGTCTAGGCATGCAACAGACATTGTCCTCTTTAAAAAACGTTTGGGTCTTCGTGTCTATGTTTATGTTATCTGAAGCGGAATATATGGGTCCCGATGTCTATGTTGATGTCATCTTCAAGATTGTGTCGAGATGAAGATGTTGATTTTGATGATATTGTCAAAACAACATAGCTGTCCGAATTGGGTCACATGTCCGAGTCAGGGTCGCGGTCTGGGCCTGCGTTTCATACATGTTGATGTCATGTTGAAGATTGTTGCGAGAGCATACATGTTCATTTTGATGTTATAGTCAAAATAATGTGGGTAAAGGATTTGAGTGAGATGTAGGGGTTAGGGTACTGGTGAAGGTCTGATCTGTGTTTATCTTATCTCCAACGGAGCATCCAGGTCCCTGATGTCTAAATTGATGTCATGTTCAAGATTGGCTCGAGATGCAAATGTCGATTTTGATGTTAGGTTTATAAGTCTCAGTTAGGGTCGTGGTCAAGGTCTGATCTTATGTTGAAAATAGTAATACAAGGCAACAACTTTAGTCAGAGATTTGGGGTACGGTCTGGGTCTAGGCATGCAGTAGGTGGTCGTCTTTAAAAAATGAATGGGTCTTCGTGTCTATGTTGATTTTATCTGACGTGGAATATCAGGGTCCCAATGTCTATGTTGATGTCATCTTTAAGATTGCCTCAATATGGAGATGTTGATTTTGATGATATAGTCAAAACAGCATAGCTGTTCGAATTGGGTCACATGTCCGGGTCAGGGTCGCGGTCTGACCCTTCATTTCATATTGTCTATTTTAGTAAAGCGCCCGAGCGTGCAGATGTCATATGATCTCATCTCCAATGGAGCATGCGGGTCGTGATGTCTATGTTGATGTCACGTTCAAGATCGTCTCGGATTGCATATGTTGATTTTGATGTTATAGTCAAAATAGTGAAGGTATAGGATTTGAGTGAGATGTACGGGTTAGTGTACTGGTGAAGGTCTGATCCGTGTTTATCTTATCTCCAACGGAGCGTCCGGGTTGTGATGTCAATTTTGATGTCATGTTCAAGATTGCCTCGAGGTGGAAACGTTGGTTTTGATGATATAGTCAAAATAGCATAGGTGTCCGACTTGGGTGACTTGTCCGGGTGAGGATTATGGTTAAGGTCTGATTTTATATTCCAAATAGAATTGTAGGGCAGCGGTGAAAGTAAAACTTCACATAAAAAAGGTGTCCGGGTTACCATTTCTCTGTTGATTTTACCTTCAGCAAAGAATCTGGGTCCCGATACCTATGTTGACGTTTTCTTCAGGGTCGCCTCGATATGCGCGTGTTGATTTTGAAGGAAGAGTCAAAATAGCATGGGTTGAGGATTAGGCTTCGAAGTGCGGGTCAGAGTCCTGGTGAAGGTCTGATCTTATTTTGAAAAACGTAATACAGGGTAATGACCTTAGTCAGAGATTTGGATGAGGGTTTGGGTCAAGCCATGCAGTAGATATTGTCCTCTTTTACAAGGCATCCGGGTCTTCGTGTCTATGTTAATGTTGTCTTCAACGGTGCATCTGGGTTTTTATATCCATGTTGATATTTCTTAGTCAAAGGTTTGGGTAAGGGTTCGGGTTAGGGTATGGGTCTAGGCCTGCATTTGATATTATCCATTTCATCAAAGCGGTCTGGTTCGCAGATCTCCGTTGATTTTATATCCAACAAAGCATCCAGGTCCTGATATCTATGCTGATGTCATGTTCAAGATTGTCTCGAGATGCACATGTTGATTTTGATGTTATAGTCAAAATAGTGTAGATGTTGGATTTGAGTCAGATGTACGGGCTAGGGTACAAGTAAACGTCTGATCTATGTTTATCTTATCTCCAACGGAGCATCCGGGTCCCTGATGTCTATGTTGATGTTATGTTCAAGATTGCCTCGAGATGCAAATGTTGATTCTGATGTCAGGTTTATAAGTCTCGGTTACGGTCATAGGCAAGGTTTGATCTTACATTTAAAATAGTATTACAGGGAAACAACCTCAGTCCGAGATTTAAGGTACAGTCAGGGTCTAGGCATGCAATAGACATTGTCCTCTTTAAAAACCGTTTGGGTCTTCGTGTATGTGTTCTGAAGCGGAATATGTGGGTCTCGATGTCTATGTTGATGTCATCTTCAAGATTGCCTCGAGATGGAGATGTGGATTTTGATGATATACTCAAAACAGCATAGCTGTCCGAATTGGGTCACATGTTCGGGTAAGGGTCGCGGTATGGGCCTGCATTTGATATTTGTCTATTTTAGTGAAGCGCCCGGGTTCGCAGATCTACGTTGATCTTATCTCCAACGGACCACACAAGTCGTGATGTCTATGTTGATGTTATGTTTAAGATTGTCTCGGGATGCACATGCTCATTTTGATGTTATAGTCAAAATAGTGTGGGCATAAGGTTTGAGTAAGATGTACGGGTCAGGGTACTGGTGAAGGTCTGATTTGTGTTTATCTTATCTCCAATGGAGCATCCGGGTCTTGATGTCTATGTTGATGTCATGTTCAAGATTGCCTCGAGATGCAAATTTTGATTTTGAGGTTAGGTTTATAAATCGCGGTCAGGGTCCTGGTCAAGGTCTGATCTTATATTCGAAATTGTAATACAGGGCAACAACCTGAGTCAGAGATTTGGGGTACGGTCTGGGTCTAGGCATGCAGCAGACATTGTCCTGTTTAAAAAACGTTTGGGTCTTCGTTTCTGTGTTGATGTTATCTGAAGCGGAATATCTGGGTCCCGATATCTATGTAGACGTTATCTTCAAGATTGCCTCGTGATGGAGATGTTGATTTTGATGATAATGTCAAAACAGCACAACTCTCCGAATTGGGTCACATGTCCGAGTCTGGGTCACGGTCTGGGCCTGCGTTTGATATTGTCTATTTTAGCAAATCGCCCGGCTTCGCAAATCTACATTGATCTTATCTCCAACGGAGCATGAAGGTCGTGATATTTATGTTGATGTCATGTTCAAGATTGTTTCGAGAGCGTATATGTTCATTTTGATGTTATAGTCAAAACAGTGTGGGTACAGGATTTGAGTGAGATGTACGGGTGTAGGGGATTGCATCTTGGAGGTCTGATCTGTGTTTTTCTTATCTCCAACGGACCATCCGGGTCCTGATGTCCACGTTGATGTCATGTTCAAGATTGCCTGAGTCAGAGATTTGAGGTACGGTCTGGGTCTAGGCATGCATCAAACATCGTTCTCTTTAAAAAACGTATGGGTCTACGT